AAGGGGGGGGAGGGGAGGGGGGGGGAGGGAAAAAAACCCCAATTCCCAGAATTCCGGGAGCTCCGCCCCTCCCCCCTCCCCCCGCTTGGGGAATTTCGGGGTTTTCCTCCATTTCCCCTTTTCCCGGCAGTTTCCGGGATTTTCCCGGGTTTTGGGGGGGGCGGTTCCCGGCAGGAATTTCCGGTTGGGTTTTGTTGGTTTGTTTTGGGTTTCTGTTTTTTGTTGTTTTGGTTTTTTGGGGTTTTTTTTTTTTTTCCCCCCCAATTTTTGGTGGGTTTTGGTCCCCTCCCCCACCCCCGGAAGCGCCCGGGCTGCTCCTCCCCCCGCCGGAAGTTTGGGGAGATTCCCGCGGGATTTGGGGCAATTCCCGCGAGATTTGGGGCAATTCCCGCGAGATTTGTGACAATTCCCACGAGATTTGTGACAATTCCCGCGAGATTTGGGGCAATTCCCGCGAGATTTGGGGCAATTCCCGCCAGTTTTGCGGCGTTTCCCGCGGATTTTCCGGGAATTTCCCGGGATTTTGGGGTTTTCCCCCGGAATTTTGGGGGATTTTTTTTTTCCCCCTCCCCGCTCCGGGTTTGGAGTTTTTGGGTTCCAATTCCGGCGTTTCTGCCCCAAAATCCCCCCAGATCCCCCCAGAATTCCCTTTTTTTGTTTAATTTCTGTATTTATGGGGGGGATCCCCCACTTTTTTGGGGGGATTTCCCCCGTTTTGGGGTTTTTTTTTTTTCCCGCCCTTTTTTTGGGGTCCCCTCCCCCCACTCGGGTTCGGGACCTCCCCTCCCCCACCCGCCCCTCCCCCACCCGCGGCTCTTTTCCAAAAGTTCAATAAAAATCTCGTTTTTTTAAGGTTTTCTAACCAAAACGGGAATTCCTGCGGCCCGGGACGGGAAATCGGGGGAAAACGGGGGGAAATTGGGAAAAAATCGAGGAAATTGGGGAAAAATGAGGGAAAGTTGGGAAAAACGAGGGGAAATTGGGAAAATATGGGGGGAAGTTGGGGAAAAAAACGCGAAAAATCAGGAAAAACGGGAAATCAGGAAAAATGGGGGGAAACCTGTTGGAATTGGGGTAAAACCAGTTTAAAATGGTGTCCAGGGGGGTGAAACCAGTCTGGGGAGGGGACGAACCAGTTTAAAGCGTGGGCACCAGTACGAGGCAGCTGAACCTGGCTTGAACTGGGCCCAGACCAGTTTAAACAGGTTTGAACTGGGCCTAGACCAGTTAAAATGGGCCCAGACCAGTTAAAATGGGCCCAGACCAGTTTAAATGGGCCCAGACCAGTTTAAATGTGCCTAGACCAGTTTAAACTAGTTTCAACTAGGCCCAGACCAGTTTAAAAGGCCTCAAAACCAGCGCGAACTGGGGGCCGGGACGGCCCCGCCCTCTCTGCAAGATTGGCAGCGCGGCCCTCCAATCGCGGCGCGCCTCCCGTGCCTCTCGTCCAATCAGAGCCCTCACTGAGCTGCCCGCCCCGCCTTTCCCTTTGAGCCAATAGCGGGCGGTGGCGCATGCGCACAGCTCGCCGCGCGTCTCGGGGCGGGCGCTCAGTCAGGCGTTCGCTTGTGATTGGTGGAGCCCCAAAATTGGCAGCAGGAGCAGCCAATCAGCGCCATGCAAAGCGTGATTGACACAATCTCCGAACCACCGGCGACCGCTCCTCCCCCTCCCGCGCAGCAGCGCCCTCCGCGCGCCCATTGGTTCAGAGTTGGATTGACATCCGCGAGAGCCAATCAGATGCCAGCGCAGGGCTCTGAGGGCGGGCCCGGCGCTGCTCGCGGCGCTGAGGGCGGCGCGGGCGCCATTTTGTGCTCAGCCCCCGGAGGAAGCGGCGGCGGCGGCGGCGGGAGCGCAGCGGTGCCCGGAGCGGTGAGGGGGCAGCGGGGGAGGCCCGGGGGGGCCCCGGCGGGGCTCCGGCGGTCCCGAACCGGGGGGGGGATTTGCGGAGCGCGGTTCTGGCGATGGCGGAGGGGGGGGGGCGGAGATGGCGGCGGCGCGTGAGGGAGCGAGGCGGGAAAAGGGGGGTGGGGGGGGCCGCCCCCTCAGGGCTGGCGGGGAGGGGCGGGGCCAAAGCCCTCGTGGGCGGGCCTAGATGCCTTTAAAGGCTCATTAGGCCTCGCGGGCTTTAATTACCCCCACGGGGGGTCCTAATGAACCCCTTCAAGGACCCAATTAACCCCCCAGGGGGCGGGGTTAGCGTCGCGGGGGGCGTGGCTTGCGTCGAGGGGCGTGCTTCACTCATTAACGGGTTAATTAAATCACTCCGGGCCTGATTAACCCCTGCGGGGGCGGGGTTGACCCCGCTTGGGGGCGTGGCCTATGCCTATTTAACTCCTCGGGTTAATTAACCCGTGGGGGGCGAGGCTCGGCCTCATTAACCACGCTGGAGGTCTAAGAAAGCCCTTTTTGTGCATAATTACCCCCAGGGGGCGGGGCTAATCATTAACGGACTAATGAACGCGTTTAAGGATAAATAAATCCTCGGGGCAGGGTTAAACCAGGGGGCGGGGCCAATTGGCTGTGGGCGTGGCCAAGCCGCGCTGAATTAATTAAACTCATCAGGGGTTTCATTCCCAGCTCTGGGGGTCTCTTCCCCCCCCCCGGCTTTTGGCAGCCAAATTCCCGCGTTTCTCTTTTCCAGAAGATTTTGCGCGTTCTGACTTTTCCCGTTAAACTTTGGACTCCGAGCCCTGGGGTTTTGTCTTTTTTTTCCCCCCAGTTTTGGGAGTCTCAGATCAGTTTTTCCTGCTCCCCGCTCCCCGTTTCTGGGGCTCAGCCCGAGTTCAGCTCCCTCCTGCTCTCCCCCAGCCCGTTCCCGGTGCCTAAATGGCATTATCCCCATTTTCTGACCAGCTCCCCAATTCCGTAATTCCCCGTCAGATTGCCGTGAATCCCGACCCGTCCCGCTTTCATTTCATTTAACTTAATTTAATTTAATTTCACTTCAATTTAATTTAATTTTTTTAATTTTTGATTCCGGCTCAGGCCACACCAGATTTCCCCTCTTAACTCCGGATATTTTTTATCTTAAAGGACGCAGCAGAACTTTAAGGAGTTCAAGTCCGTTTTTGCACACAAAGCCCCGGATTTTGGGACCGGATCCCCAAAATTCTCCATCCCCCTCCCCAGATCTGGGAGTCAGTAAAACACTGAACTTCTGCCAGCTCCCAAAATCCACATTTTTACCCCCAAAACGCCTTCCCCGAGCTGCCCATTCCCTCTCCCCTCCCCCAGGCCGGGGTGAGGGGGGGAGGGGAGGGGTCACCCCCGGGTTTGGGTTGGGGAAGGGGCGGGAGGGGGGAGGGGCCGGGTGGGGGGAGGGGTCGCTCAACCTTCTCTCCTTCCACAGGGCCCAGGAGGCGCACCCGGAGCCGGCCCCTCCCCCGCCCAGCCTCCCCCTCCCCTCCCCTCCCCCAGCCCCTCCCCCGGCGCCGTTTTGGGCCGAATCCGCCCAGTTTTGGAGGTTTTTCAACCAAAGGGGAAAGGGGGCGGGCTCGTCGCGGTGGGGGAGGGGCGCTGCTGGGGGAGGGGCCTGAGCGCGGGGGGGAGGTGGGGGAGGGGCCGCCCCTCCCCCCGCTGGCCCCCCCCCCGCCCCCCAATTTGCCTTTTTTTTGTCTCTTTTTTGTTCACAGCGCGATTTTTTTGAGCCGGCGGCGACCGTAAGTTCCAACGTTTTCCTGCTTTTTTTTTGTTTTTTTTAA